ATTGATTACTTTGCTTTAAATCTATCAAATAATTTAGTCTCAGAGTGTCACTCAATTTTCAGAACTTTTTCATCGTGTTTTTACCTATGGGGGTTCATAATCTTTCCATACAAGATTATTTTGGTGGTTCGAGGGACCATCGTGTGTCGTTTGGCTATAACTCTCTCGTTCTTTATCTGATTCGATTCAAAACTTTTGCATTCTATTTTAGATGATAATTCCAATGTGTTGAGATCTTAAGAAGTGATTTTTAAGATGTTTAATAGATTTTCATTTGGATTAGACTCTGTTGTGAGATTGTACAATCCGAAGAGACAAAATTATGTCCTTATAGAGCTCGATTGTGTAGCCGCGGCACAAAGGGTTTGAAACATGGATTCCTTATTTTAATTTGGAATTCTAATTTCCTGTTTAGTTTATTTTATTCCTTAAAATTTTGTTTAAATTAATTACATGATGTATTTAAACTTTGGGACATAGTTTATGTAATTTGTGCTATGAATGTGTAATTCATAAGCTAGTCTTGCTTTATATGTAATGTATCCATAAGAGGTTGGTATTTGAGTTTATTTATAGTGGTTATACAAGGCTAGAAATGGTTGTAATTTTTATTTAATATATTGTAACTTATTCACTTAACTTGGTTTTTAGCGAGTGACTTGTTGTAGGTGTCCATTTTGCCTTGTTTTTTGGCTTGAAAATTTTCTCTAGTCTTTGTATCCACTATCAAGATTTCTAAATGATTTCTCTTTTCCTCTCCTTCTTCTTCTCAATATTTTCCCCTTTTCTAATCTTCTCATCTTCTGCTTGTTCTCCTCTCTTCTTCTACTCCTTCTCAATCTCTTCTCCTCAGAATCTCTCTCTGTCTTCTTCTCTTTCAACCAACCCCTACCACTTTTCCCCTATCACTCTTGAAACCCCTCTCTAAGGATGAGGCAGGGTTGTCTGTCCATCACTTAGCATTCTTATACTTGTGTGTTTACCAAGGCACAACATGAGGCAAGGGAACCAGAGCCGAGAGGAAGGGGGGCTTTCCATTTCGTTATATAAGAGGGCTACTTGCACCCCTAGGCGTGTCACGAACCCAACCACCCATGAGGTTGGTCCCGACTCACAACCTTTAAACCTTTCTCTTATTGGTTCTGGCCGCACACGCATGCACGGTATCCTAGAGAGCGATATCGGACTGGGTCCCATACCAGGTCCCCAGGTCCAAATCCCACCAAGATCGAGGGCCAACTAATCATTTTTTATAATATTAAATATCCAGAAACTTCTAAAAAATATTTTAATGTCCTAAAACTTATTTATAACCAAATTACTTATTTCTAAATTAATTAGATAGGAATTGGATCAAATTTTATTAAGGAAAAAAGAAATATTGCTGAGGTACTCTATTTCTACTAGTGACTATGTCTCACACTCACTTTCTCAAATTGACCCAGCAGTTCCTATGACCCACAATCTATCATAAAGATTTATAATTGGATTACCAAAGCTAGCCAATAGGTGATGAGAATATAATCCCAGTCTATGGATTATAATTTCCCCTAGGGACAAGCCTAGGTCACACAAACCAATGCACACAAATCGCAATTGGTGCATGAGGGCTATCTCTCGCATATATACATATAACACCCTAAATGGAGTTCATTTGAAGCGCTAGAAACAGAGGAGAAAGGGATTAGGGTCTAGGGATTGTGAATTAGGCAAAGTGTTTTGTTCTTCCTTGTCATTTTTGAGTTTTTATTCTTTTAAGGATAAATATTATGTTAATTATTTCAATTTGTTAATTATAAATCATGTTGGTAATTTAATTTTAATTTTCTTTGTTAATTTAATTTTGATAATCTTGAATTTATTTTACTAATTTTAATCTTAATTTTAAAGTTACTTAAAAAATTAGGACTATATCTACATATAGCCCATTTATATAATATATGTAGTTTGACGGTTCAAAAAGAAAAATATAATTTATAGTCTATGAACTATACATGCATATATGGGCTAGGCACAGGTTGTGCCATGGGTGGCCACAAAAAAAAAAAGGGGCCTTGGCTGCCTAACCCGGGCCCAATACGTTGCCATTAAATAGGGGCCCGAACCCGACATTAACAGCTGCCCCAATGCAAAAGCTCGTGAGTTGGCAACCTTATAAGAGAGAGGCACGAACAACTAGATCGAGAGGGTTTCCCATGAGATTTTGGGTTGGTTAACTTTCAACTTTTAGATATAGTCTCTCAGTTGTTCTTAATGTTATGTTCCTGATAGGAATACCATAGTGGGGAAGAGGAAATTAATTGGTGGGGTCTCGTCCAAATGAGGGAGCAGGTTAGAGGGGACGATCGGCAAGGGTTTTGCCGATGTTTAGAGAGATGTATTTCTCTTTGTAACAAAAACACTATAAGCTTTATTGAGATAATAGAGTTCTACTTGCTAAAACCATGGACTTAGCCTTTTAAATTCACATAAATCCTTGTCGTTGTGATGTGCCTTTTTTGTTTGCTTTATTTGTCATGTTTTATTTTATCGCTATATACATTTATTTCGTATCTAGTCAACTATCTACATACCCTTGAGTAGGATCCTAATATTTGGGTTCCCTAATCTCGCAAGCTAGGAGTTCTTGAAATTCTTGCACAATTTATTTATTTATTAAGATGGCTGCTAGATTGAAGAAATTACATCCGCGTCATTTGCGCCCCTCAACATGTTCCAAAACTCAGTTTACCCCAAGGAAGTGAAAGCAGCAGGAAATGCTCCCGGTTTCTTTCGTGACATCTTCCAATACAAACAAAACAAAAGAAGCCTTAGGGCTTCTGTCGTCATTACGTGTGCCAAGGCTACCTCTTACTTTTACTTTTAATTTTATGATTTTTTTCTGTGAATTTTGGGGTAGATATGCCTATAAATGTAGTTATAAAATTAAAATCAAGACTCGGCTCGTGGGGAAGCCGAGCCGCTTCTCATTTAACGGGGTAACGTTAAGCCGTTTGAACGGGGGCCTTTCAATGCCACGATTCCCGTGATACAAAAGATTCCCCCACTCCACACGTATAAATACCCCTTCTGCCCCATCTTTTGCTTTCCCTCCCAAACCTTTTCTCTCTCTATCTCTACTGCTTTGTCTTACACCGTCTCTCTAAAAACCCCCCTCTCTTTCTAAAAACTCAATCACTGGCACCATTTTTCTTTTAATCCTGAACTTTGCCCTGACTTTATCTCAATTTTTTTTTTACCAGCCCTTTTCCTTGTTTATTTATTTTATTGCTTAAAGTTCCTTAAGAAATTAGGCGAAACTCAACCGGATCAACCCGAGCTCCTTTTGCGGATTGCGGTAATTCCTTCGTCAAATTATTGTAATGTTTGTTCATTTACTGTTTGTTTGTTTGTCTATGTGTTGCCTAGCATGGTGACATTTTATGACGGGCAATATAACCACCAGAAGCGGTTTGGTGGGTTGAGATCGGCGGTTGAAGGATATGGTTGTTATTTTACGAAATTTCCAGGGGAGTTTCGTTGAGGATCTCTGGTTTGACTTAAGGGATTGTGGCGCCCTTTGTTGAAACTATAGGCTGATTTGGATACTTGGACCAAAGCCCTTTTGGTCTTTTGCATTTAATAAAATTGTTTGTTTTTTAAACCCTTTTGTTAATAGTAATAAAGGCCAGTGGACCTTTATTAATTATTTATTTATTTATTTATTTTTATTTTTTTTTTGTGGTTCTGTTTCAGTGGGGATGGGTCCCTTTTCTGTTAGTGGGCACCATTTTGAGGAACATGCCAAGTGCTTTTTATTTGAAAATAAGTTTATATAGGGCCGTGGCTCTAAACAATTAGAGCCCACTTCAAAACTTTCATTAGAAGAGGTTGTTTTGATGCCAACATCTCAACATCAAGATGAATGGACATGAGATAAAAAATGGATTTTAAATCTTGAAAGTAGTGTATCTTGTAATGCATTTTTGGATGGTAACAATTTTTAAGATTTTAAAGTTTTCATATATCTGCTCGATCTATACTATTTTTTTAGCGTTAAATATTATAATCAAAGATGAAAATATATTTTAAGGCTATCACAAAGATTTCTAGTATTGAAATGATATTTCCGACTCCACTTGAAGGTGCGCCTTATTTTGATTGTTTAAAGCCTCTGCTCTACATAAGCCACACCCTTTTTATTTTCCTTACGTGTATGAGGGGTTAAATGACTCGGGTACGAGAATGACCCTTTTTCTGTTAATTGTGGGGGACAAATTTCTACTTTACTGCCACAAATCCAAATTCCAAAAGTTACATGCTCCCGCATTAGTATTGCTAGGATCCGGAGTTTTGGAAATGTACTCTCCTCAATGTAGTGTCCAACCTCAAAAAAATAAAGAAAAAAAGAATTTAAACATTGTAATGAGCCTAGAAAAATAAGAATAATTGTTTCATGTGGGTTGGACCGCATTTTTACTATATGCAGTCCAGAGGGATAAAGTATTTATCTTAAAATTGGAAGCAAATAGGTGATCTATCTAAAAACAATTGTAACCAAGTTCAAATGTTTTTTTAATATAATTATTATTTCTAGTTTTAATTTTTTTATTTTTTTTTATATTCATTATCTCTAAGTTAAAGATTATATATTCTCTAAAAATTAAAATCAAATTATACGTAAAAAAATATATTTATTACTAAGCCAGCATTTCTACAATATGCGGGTTGGAGCGCGTCCAAAAAATAAAGTCCCCATATTACTTTTGATGGTCAAATCCAAGTCTTTAAGAAGTTACGGTACTTTTGTTTTTTCTTTTCCCTTTTGAAAATACTCATCTCGTTAGTCTAAAGAGGATCCCAGAATTTTGTATCAAGAGAATTTTCAGAAGCTCTTTTATCTAAGGGAGTATGTAAAGTGTGCTCCAAAGAGTACACGCTTTGCTTGGGCCTGCAATTCCTCTTGCCACTTTGGTGTAAAACACAATCTTTTTTTTTTTAATAATTCAGTGGGTACCTTTTTTTTCAAATAAATTAAGAGTTAATTTTTTAAAGATTTTAGTAAATACTATGAGAGGGATTGAAAACTACATTGTGGTAACTAGTTGGGTGCTACCAACATGACCCAGAACCTTTCCTAATACACACCCAATACAACGCTTAAAAACGCAGCTTTTTTTCCTACCAAATTTGATTTCTTCGATCAAAATTAGCGTTTAGAAAATTATCGCAGCTCAAAAAGATCGGATGATTTTTATCCAATTATTAATACTACACGACAAGCTTAATCCAATTGATATTATCTTTGAAAGAAATCATGATTTCAGCATCCCCTTTGCTTATCTTTATTCTTGTCAAAAAAAGATGAAAAGACAAAAAGAAAGGCTAAGTTAGTCATGATTTTAGAATCCCCTTTTGCATGAATTGCTATTACTATATACTTTTATTGAATGCTGTTTAATATTTACCATTACTAAATTCCTTGAATTGCTTGCAGGGTGATTAATCTAATTCCAACTTTAAGCAGGCCACATGGGTTTCACGCGCTTGCCATCTGATGAACAAAATCAGCCACCCATGGCCAAAGGAATATTGGAAATGGAAGATACAGATTATGATTCTTGGATGGTAAGCTCCTTTATGAAATTAAAATGAATAAGAAAATTGGTTTTACTAATTTATTATCCAAAAAGAAAGAAAAAATCAAATCTGAGTTTCATGGCATGGCATGGCATGGAAATTTAGAAGAGACATCCTTCGGCGTTGAGCATGTTCGATAGGATGATGAACGCGGCCAAGGGGAAAAAAGTTGTAGTCTTCCTTGACTATGATGGCACACTTTCACCTATTGTGGATGATCCCGACAAGGCATTCATGTCAGAGCCGGTAATTTTTATAGAAAAGTATACAGAGAGACCATTTACTTTTTAAATAAAAGTCTTTTCTTAATACTATGGGAGAGAGAGATGGAGAGTTGTTACTAACAAATCAGGTAGTTAAGCACTGCTTTGCCTCCACCAAAAAAGTTCGAGCAAAAGCATTAGGGATTATCAATAATGCAATGGTTCAGAAAAAAAAAATATCTTGCTCACAAGGCTTAAGTGTCGTATCTCTCTTCACAGATGCGGTCTGCAGTCCGTGATGTTGCTCGTTACTTCCCTACTGCAATTATCAGCGGAAGGCGTCTTGAGAAGGTAAAGTTGTACCGACACATGGTTTCGTTATGTGTCAATGAGTCAGAATATTTTGTGAGGAGTTTGAGCAGAGGAACGACACACCCCAGCCCGTGGGAGATGACATTGAAGGCTGGGGTGATGTTAGGTTTAGTACAAAAAACTTGCCACTTCCCTTTTTGCTATTATAAATATTTAAGGACCAGTTTGGATAGACCTCATGAGACACTTCTATCACTTTGCCCTTAGTCCTTGACAATAAAAAGGGACATTTGTTCTGCCCCAGCTTTTCAGGATCAAGTTCCAATTCTTTTCCCTGATTCCTTGAAACAGTCCGATATGAGATATATTCGCAATGATCACATGAAAGAGAAAAACCCTCTTTAGTTCAAGTCTCAAAGTATAGGCGGCCAAACACGGCTTCGAGTCACGAGTTCTAGTTTACGACCTTAAACTTGAGCTAATCTTCAATATACATTGATTGTTGTTGATTTTCTGTTATTCCTACAACTGATCATTTTGAGCTCAAGATGAATATATATACATATATATTAAAAAAAGAAAGACTTCAATTTCTAAACATAGTGCATCTTATACTGCATTATTTGAATTATTCATTTTAAGATTTTTCAAGTGTCTAAGGATATTCTCATTATGCATTATTTTTGAAGGTTTAAATTCCATAATTATAGGTGGAAATAGACTTTCAGGCTTCTACAGGAGTTTCCGTCACCAAAACTGTATTTTTTTACACAGTTTTGAGGTGGCCTTTCTTTGACTAGTTAAGGTTGTTGACTTGTATAAACCGCACCCATAAAAATAATGATCGATAAAGTTTATGATGCGATATGGGGTGCTTAAGCTCAGTGTAGGCCTTGCAGAAATTTTGTTCGTTGTTATTAACTGGTCTGTCCAAACTGGACCTTATGTATCTAGGCCTTAGGGCATGGGACCCATTAAAGGGCAACTTAGGTTTGTAAATGAAGTGCACAGGGCTGGTCCAAGGGGATAATTTTGCTTGATATAGGCCAGAGGGCACATAAGATTACTTGTGTGGATTCCTTGTTAATTCTCCAATGCATTTGCTGATTCCTTTACCAACTGAGAATGTATAATCTACTTTATTTATAAACAACTTTACCTGTGAGCAGGTGTATGAATTTGTACAGTTATCTGATGTTTACTATGCTGGGAGCCATGGGATGGATATTATGGCACCTCCAAAATGCCTCTGTCGCAGTATTACCAAGTTTCACACCAGAGCCATTGGTAAAGGGGTAAATTCTCTACATTCTGTTTTCATATGGTGTGATCATTTTAAATGAAAAACTGAAACTTCATATAACAAAATAGAGTACCAAGAGACTTATGTGCTTTTCTGGTTTCTAGGGAGCAGAGGTTGTACTCTTCCAACCGGCTAGGGATTTCTTACCAATTATCGAGGAGGTATTAACCCAATTCTAATATTTTTTGTTTTTTTGTTTGGTGATTGTCTGATTAATTTTACAAATTCCTCAAATTCTGTATTTTATGACTTTCTTTTTTAGGTGTTCAAGATATTAGAAGAGAAAACCAAGAGAATACATGGAGTTGTCTTAGAGAACAACAAGTTTTGTTTATCTGTACATTATAGGCATGTAGAACAGGAGGTATGTCTTCTATTATTGCTCAAAATGAATTAATCGCCTCGTGTACATATACATAAAGACATACATATATACATACATACATAGAGACATATCTAATGTAACATGCAATGTGTTGTTGATTATTCAGAATTTAGCTTTACTCACCGAGCAAGTCAAGGGCACCGTGAAGGGCTACCCCAGTCTTTGCTTAACTAAGGGTAGAAAGGTAATTTTCTTTTAGTATGCTATAGATTTATTGCAATGTGTGGTTCTGTCTATTTTCTATGGTTATAATTTACCATTGTTACAAAGAAGTCACAATTACTCCAACCATTAGAAGTCAAATTAGATGGTTTGGGATGTGTTACGAAGTTCAAGGAATTTTTTTTGTTTTTAGAATTTTGAGTCTAGTCTATAACATATAACCAACCGATTTTAAATCTGGCATACACGAATGACTGTAACTTCCTTGTACTAAAAGTAACTGGTCTCTTTGTATACTCTTGCTTTGTTTTATTGGAATACAAGTTGAATCAATGAGAAATTGTTATTGTAGGTCCTCGAAATCCGACCTTCTATTAAGTGGGATAAAGGGCATGCATTGGAATATTTCCTTAATGGTTTGGGAGTTGGAAGCTCCATTGATACCTTTCCATTGTACATAGGAGATGATCGAACAGATGAGGATGCTTTTAAGGTATACCAAATTTATACAAATCAATTTATATTTATACATTCATGGCATGTAAAAATATATGTGCACATATGCAAACCCTAGTGCATGTGTACTTGGATCTATGTTATATATGTTTAGATATGTATATTGGATATATTTTAGATATGATAAAAAATTGAATTTAACCTAGTGTTAAGATTTATTTATTGTTTAATTATTTTTTAAGGTGCTAAGAAAGAGAGGACAAGGTTACCCCATAGTTGTTTCCTCTATTCCTAAGGACACCAAAGCATCCTATTCCTTGAGAGACCCCTCAGAGGTCATGTCCTTTTTAAGGCACTTAGCTAGATGGAGGAGAAATTCTTCTTGCAGTAAGTGGGACTCGAGTTGACATTGCACTGGAGACATACCATATGTATATTTCATAGATAAATGAAAAAACTAAAACAAAAGTTGAGTAGAGATAAAGCCACAACCAATGAAAGGAGAGAAAGATTTGAAAATAGTATTGTGACAAATTTCCTGGGTGGTTGTTTGTTTGTTAGGATTTTTGTAGCAGCAATCATGTGCCTTTTCAGGCTAGGCTTGTTTCCCTAATACATGTGTTCTGAGAGATTTTGAAGAAAAGGTTCCTTGTATGATGTTTTACATTATGTACTTTAAATGAAAAGGGTTTCCTTTTATTCACTTTTTTTTCTTCATCAAGTTTAAGGAGTGTGTGTGTGTGTTTGTGACTGTGTTTAAGGTGCCTATTGAAAACTCCCCTACGGGAGGGGAAAAATAAGACATCCCGACCATTTTGTTCCCGTCAGACAAAATTTCCACAATAATTTATCCTAAGGTGACGCAGTGTAAATTTTATCGGCAAACAATACCAGTAAAAATAATCGTGTTTAAGAGAGAAATAAAAATCGTGAAGAAAACCACAAGAGTAAAAAGCAAAACGCGTGGATCCGGATCATCCACTACAAGTCAATAAGCAAAAGAGGGAAGAAAATATCACCCCACAAAGGGGCCTCTCTCTATACGAAACACTTCTTTTATTTCATAAAATTCAATCACCTCTTTACAATGGCGTGATCCCTTTTTATAAAAGGTTATCTTCTCTTCCTACAAAAGGATAACTTCTATTTTTAATAAGATAACTAACTAAAAAAACATAGTCGTTTCATTCTTTCCCACTACGTTTCATTCTTTTCATGTACATTCCAAGCTAAAGAGATAGACCCTATCTGAAAGAAAACCTTCCTAAACTTAAGGATACGATTAAAAAAGATAGGCTCTTTTTATCCTACCCCCATGTAAAGATAAGCTTTTTTAAAGGTGACCTCCTATCCAACTCCTACAACAACAACAAAAAAAAAAAATTACTCCCTTATTTCCTTCTAAAACATGATTCTAAGAAAAAGAAATCTATTAAATGCCTACCAAACAAATAGGCTCAAGTTTTTCCTAAGAAATTATGGACTCCTAAGGAAATAGTGGAACTACAAGAAAAGATAATAATTCATTTAAAATAAAAAGAAAACGGACTAAATTTTCCTAAGTAAAATGTAGACTTTATCAAACTAAATAAAAAAAATCATATTTTTAATAATTAACCCTACTAAATAAAAATAAAATGTCTACCCAATCTCTAAAAATAAAATTAAAATTTGTAACAACTAGATTTTGATCTGTATCATTCTTCCTATCCTTGGTTGGAGAAAACTCTACCTTGAGTTTTAAAATGCAATAAAATGAAATTTTGCGTCCTTCTTCTTGAAATTTTGCATCCTTCTTCCACCAGAATGTTGCAAACACGATCCTAAGACATTTGAATATTGCTAACACGATCTTAAGACCTGTGGGTTACTGCACGTATCACAACATAACGATTCCGCATTGAAAATAATAATCCGAAAAAGGGTCATTGTATGTCGATTTTTCAGCCACATTCAAATTGCTCAAACTTAAGATTAGGGATTAGGGCATACCACGTATGCATTTGTTTCTTTGTCATGTATCTTCGAAAGCTCAATCTCCTCTAGGTTCAAGTTAACATATTGATTCTCCACCTCTCCATGCTGAGAAAATTAGATGTCATTTTTGCCTCAAGGACAACTTCTCTCCTTTGATCTTGTTCTTCATCAAATACACGATCTTTATCAAAGATGAAATCACTTTGGAATGATAAATCCAATTGAAGGTTCAAACCTAAACTTCACTAAATCACACTTCCAATCATGAGGCTCCCGACATAGGGCATTGGCATGGAATGGGTTTTCGAAAATAACGTCAGATTCACCGCTATCATCATAGTGTGTTAGGGCTAGTTGTTGTGCCAAGCGTACGGTCAGCTCCTCTACTTGACTTCTCAAAATTTTATCCTATATTTCTTGAAGAGCTCAGAGGTTTCGTTCTCACCGGATGTTTTAAGTCTCGATACAAGGCATAGACCTCGTCCACGAGCCATGATACACATCGATAACTACCACGATCCACACGACTTGATAATGCTCTGATCGTCGAATGGTTTTAGTCCCAATACCCGACCATAGACCTTGTCCACGAGCCATGATACACATCAATAACTACCACGATCCATACGAATTGACTACGCTCTGATACCTCCTAACACAGTATAAAACTACCGGTGACTGACACTCGATAAAAATAACTGCATTTAAGAGAGAAATAAAATTCGCGACCGAAATCATAAAAAGAAAAAACAAAATACACGGATCTGAATCATCTGCTACAAGCCCATTAGCACAAGATGGAAGAAAATAACACCCACAAAGGGATCTCTCTCTATAAGAAACACTTTCTTTATTTCATAAAATTCAATCACCTCTTTACAATGGTGTGGTCCCTTTTTATAAAGAGTTCTCCTCTTCCTACAAAAAGATAATTTCTATTTTTTTATAAAAAGATAACTAACTAAAAGAAACCTAATCCGTTTCATTCTTTTAACCTAAAGAGATAAACCCGATTTGAAAGAAAACCTTCCTAAACATAACTTAAGGATATGATTAAAAAGATAGGTTCTTTATATCCTATCCCCACGTAAAGATAAGCTTTCCTAAAAGAGACCTCACATCCAACTCCTACAAAAAAAAAAACATCCTCTTATTTCCTTTAAAAAAATATTATAAAAAATGGACTCTAATAAATATCTACTAAAAAAAAGGCAAGCTTCCTATGCTTTTTCTACAGTATAAAACTTATATACTTCCCCGTATCCAACCGTTCATTCTGAATGGAGGGCTAAGATTGCCCGAATCAAGTCATTGCTCTACAGTATTTTATTTTTATTTTTTGTCTATAAACTATTTTGACACCAAATTTTGGACATTCAATCCTCTATTAAACTCGCACTAGTAAAAAATATTAAAAAAATATTTTCAATAAAATAAAATAAACAAACTACCCCTGAATTTTTCAAGGGATATTTTGGTCATAATATTTTATCGAAAAATTATTTTTAATATTTTTTATAGGTGCGCTCCAATGAGAAGATGGCGTGTACCAATTTTCATATTCATATAATTTGTATAAAAAAATAAAAAAAAATACTTTGAGACGTCGGATATAAGTCAAACGATGAGTGGCTCTCTTGATCAAAATTGGACGGCAGGATGGTAGGGGAAGCATAGATCTTCTATGCTATAGGAGAAGTATAGAAACTTTTCCCCTAAAAACCTTAGGACTCAAATTTTCCCTAAAAAATTATATATTCCTCAGGAAAGTACATACCTATCATCTAAGAAAAGATAACAATTCATTTAAATTAAAAAAAAAAAAACAGACTTAATTTTTTTAAGTAAAATTGTACTTGCTAAAAATAGACTTTGTCAAACTAAATCAAAAAATCATATTTTTAATAATTAACTCTAAAAAATAAAAATAAAAATTCTACCCAATCTCTAAACATAAAATTAAAATTTGTAGCAACCGGATTTTGATTTGCATCATAAAGGTGGCCAAAGATGAGCCCAGTACTGGCTTGGGCCTGTCCTTATTCCTATAGGGCGGGCCCATGTCCAGCCCGGCCCACCCCATGTCCAGCCCGGCCTGGCCTAAGCAAAAGAGGACTAAGACCAAGCCAATCCCTTGCCCTATCAGGGCCAGACTAGTGTTGGGCGGCCAAAAATAAATGAAGGAAAAACAAGAAAAAGGAGGGTTAGGCTGCGCCAAACCTGGCCGGCTCTGGCCCTAGCACGACTTGGCCCTCGGGCCACATTTTGCTGCATAGGCCCTATTTTTTAAGGGCTGGGCTGGGTGGGGGCGGCCCAGCCTCCAGCCCATTGCCAGCATTAATTTATCTTTTTCAGGTGCAAGGGTGACGCAAAAAAAGTCGCTAGAATCCCTAGTTTTAAACCTTCAAAATTTCTGAACTTTTAATTTCACTCACGACAACAAACTAACTAGCAATCAATCTTCGCAAGGAAGTTTACATGTCCTAGTGTCTATCGCCCATTTTTTTTTGTTTTTGGAACTTTTTAGGAAATTTATTGAGGAAATGAAATAGATTACGGGTGAAAAGAAAAAAGAAAAGCACTGAATTACAAAAGAAGATGGGAGGGCATATATAGAAATGAGACGGCCCCGGCAAGGTGCCACTCTCAATAGGTAGAGAACAGAGATTCTAAACGCCTTTTGCTCGTCTGCTTCCCGGTTGTGCTCTCTGTGGACATGGTTAAAAATAACCATCCTATCAAAATGCCAGTCCTATCCACTTTGGCATTTTGATGGTGCTACAATGTGACATTTTGGATTTCATTCTTACAATATGTCTCGAGTTAACTAAAAAATAAAAAAAGGGGCAAATATATCATATTCTTATAAGAATATGCAAATCATTGACTCCCTCAAGTAAAATACATCGTTTATGGAGATTTTTGGACTGCGAAAATTTTGGGATCCACGTTTGTATCACTAAATGAGTATTTCCACAAAAGAAATTAAATGAATTATGAGGTTCTAGATACTTAAATGTGACTGGTGTTTCAAACTTAGATTGGTAGGGCAGATCGTTCACTGATAGATTTATGTTGGATTGTTGGATTAGCGATTTGGATCGGGTCTGAATCCATCTGAAATATTGATACAAAAATATTAAAAAATAAATTAAACAAATAAAAATTAAATAGGGCTTTATGAGTGGGGATTTACAGGGGACTCAAAAAACATTAGATAAGATTATGATGTATATATATATATATATATATATATATTATGCTGAGTGTGGTTTGTGTATAGAGCCGAGGCTCTAAATAATCAAAGTAAAGCACACCTTCAAATTGCCTCGAGAAATATGGTTTAAATGTTGAAAATCTTTATAATAGTCTTAAAATATATTTTCATCTTTAATTATAAAATTTAAAGCTTCAAAAATAATGTTGATCGAGCAGATCTATGAAACTTGAAACTCTTGAAAATTGACGGTCCAAAAATACGTTACAAGATGTATTATTTTCAAAAAATGAAATCTATTTTTTTCTCATGGACATGAACAGTTTATGGATATTTGGGCATCAAAACAACCTCTTCCCATCCAAATTAACAATTGAGATTGAAAATCGCAATTTTAAAATACTACACCTTATCATCTAAATTTGACGCTCGTTGCTCAATATAAGGACAATATGTCTTTTCATAGACAAGCAAA